GCTCAAGTGTGGCCACCTGACCGCTGACGTCCAGGTCTTCCCCAGGCCAGAGCCATTCATTGTAGATGAAGAAATCGATCCTATCCCAAAAGTCATTAACACAGTTAATGCATTAAAAATTCCCTCCTGGCCTTCCTCTTTTCTCTGCCCTCCTTTCACTTGTGACTTACTTTCTCCCCATCTAGGAGGGCTGGAAAGAATCTTGTATACTCACAGGGAGGTGCTATTGTCATCAGCCCTGGATTTTTTTTTCTTTTTTGCTGGTCCTGGAGGCTTGAACTCAAGGCCTGGTCATTGTCCCTGAGCCTCTTTTCTCAAGGCTAGCCCTCTACCACTTGAGCCACAGCACGACTTCAGATTTTTTCTGTTTATGTGATACTGAGGAATCAAACCCAGGGCTTCATGCAGTCCACAGGAGAACCTTCTTAGGTGATTTGTCTATACTGAGATAATGCTTTCTGCATAGATTTCAATCCACTCTATCACAATTACTCATTTGGAAGTGATCTCATTTCCATCATTTTTTCTGATTCTTTTTCCCACCTTAGTGTGCCAATGAGTCAGGCCTGACCCTGAATGTGCCATGCAATATATGGAGCCCAGAGGCAGGCCTGCTGGACATGTTGGTGATGAACCTGGTCCCTGCCTACCAGAAAGGCGATCTCTTCTATGTTGGAAACTTTCTCCACAATTATAGACAGTGGGGGACAATGGAGCAAGTGCTGGCTATTGTGTTTAAAAAGTGAGTGTTCCCCCTTCCTTCGCATCTTGGTCTGTTGAGCCCCTCCTTGCTGAGTTGTGGAATACTTGCCACCCCTCTGAACCTGTTGATTTCACGGGGGTCTTCTCACAGGAGCTTGGCATGAGACAAGAAGTGCACCCCCTTCCTACTTTCTTAGTAGTGGTCTGCCCAGGACATTTCCCAGAAAAGCTACTGGAACCTCAGAAGCTTGCTTACTGTGTGGCTGTTATTACAGGCATGTGCCCGTGGCACCCACCTTTTGCCCTCACCTAGATGAGGTTCTAGGAAATCACATTTCCCATGAGTAAATAAGGTTTCATTGGGAATTGGATGTCTGTGAATAATGTAGACCTAGGAAAAGCTAGGGTCTGTGGGAGGCAGGTGAACTGGAGGCTGAATCACCTCAGAGACCTCAGGGAGGGATTATGTTGGCTTTACATATTTAAAACCCCTGAAGCTTTTATGAATTTTGTGTGTATGCCAGTCATGCAATCTGAACTCAGGGCCTGAGTGCTGTTTCTTAGATGCTCAGAGCTAGCACTACAGCATTTGAACCATAGGTGCTATTCTGGTCTTTTAAAAATTAGTGTCTTTAGACTTTTACTGACTAATGTTTGATCAGACTGTGCACCTGAGATCTCATGCTCCTGATGAGCTAGAATTTGAGGTATTAGCCACTGGCACATTTTCCTTGGACCAAATGCATATACCTCTCATAGAAGAATTTTGACTGAACTGTATAGACATATCTCACTTGTTTATGTGTCAGATTCCATTTCTGTCTGGGAATGAGCTCATCCCATATGTGTCCTGTTTGGGCAAAAAGGAGAAGCTGAGAGGTGACTTCCTCCTGTCCTCCCATAGGTACAGATTCCCGGACAGTAACTCTGAGGAAGATGAACAAGTAAAGATGTAAGTGGACTGTGGCACAAAGAAAAGTCCCCTTGGTTCAAAATGGTATCTTTGAGGCTTCTGATTCTCTAAGTATTTGCATTGGCTCCAGATGATACCAGAGAGGGGTTCTAAGGACAAACAGATTAGGCTACAGAAAGTAAACAATGACCAAGTAGGTAGATGTCAAAAATATGTGCCAGAAAGATGTGGCAGTCACAGAAGGCCCTGAGAAGCCAAATGATTTGAGCCAGATGAGAGGAATAGTGACAGATATGCCATGAATGTGACCTAGGAGTGACTCCTGGAAGCAGAGAACATGCCAGAACGAGCAGATTAGGATTTCACAAACAAGATGTGCTGTTAACTTGTCTACATGTACATATTGCAATATTGGGTGGATGGGAATATTTCTTGTGTGAAGAAGTGGCAGAGGTCATTGGGCCTGACAGGTGACCCTGCCTCCTTCACAATGGAATAGAACATGGAACCCTGAGAGCAGGCCACGGTAACTCACAGTTGGCTCAAGCCAGCTCACTTGGCCTGTGACTCAGGAGCCAGAAACATGTTCTTGTGCTGTATTTGCAGGTCTCGAGACTCTGGTCTCAGCCAAGAGAAGTATGGGTGCCTCAGTCAAAGCTGTAGACACTGGATCAGTGGCAAGCCACGAACCAACCATCTCAGAGATTTGTCCAAAAAGAAACCTAGGAAATCACAAGGCAACTCAGGCAAGGTATAGTCATGATAGAAAACCTACTTAACCCCAACCCAGCCCAAAGTAGAACCTTCTTATGTGATTTGTTTATTCTGAGATAATGCTTTCTGCATAGTTTTCAATCCACTCTATCACAGTTCCTCATTTGGAAGTGTTCTCATTTCCATGTTTTTTTCTGATTCTTTTTCCCACCTTAGTGTGCCAATGAGTCAGCCCTGACCCTGAATGTGCCATGCAATCTATGGAGGCCGGAGGCAGGCCTGCTGGACCTGCTGGTGATGAACCTGGTCCCTGCCTACCAGAAAGGCGATCTCTTCTATGTTGGGAACTTCCTCCACAATTATAGACAGTGGGC